GTTATTGATAAGAGAGCAGTTAACTGATTCTATTTGTTTAAACCATTACCGTCTCTCTCTATATTTATTTTTCTAGAAAAATTGATTATTTTTAAGAATTAATAATTATCTCACCCATCTGAATTGATCTTTAATGATCGAAGTATCAAATATTGTCTGTACAAGATACAAAAACGTGTGCAGTTTAGCTCACAGTCTATACTCTTTTCTTTGAGAAATAAGCTAAACTTACATATTGAACACATTTGAGTACGGTGGAAAAAAGTTCAATGTTAACTGTGTTTCTCGTTTAAAACTCATATGAGTATCGAGAACAATTTGACTTAGCGGTATACTCGTCTGTAATAAAAAAATAAAAAGAATACTTAGTCAAAATAATAAACTCACGTTAACCGTGTGTTAATCTTACATAACCAAACAGGATAAGTTTTTTTTGCGCTTTTACATCATCATTTGGCGGTTTACACCATAAGCACACATTTAAAAATCGTTCACTATCACCAACTTTCATTTTAAATGTTTCATTAAATTCGATAAACTAAACAAAAATATTTATAAGAAAAACATAACAGTCTATGAACAATTTATCAAGTAAGACATTCACGTACCATTTGTGCTTTTTTATAGGATGTTTGTTCAAATTGAAATTGTTGTAGCAGGTCTATATTCACCATACTAAATGCAACGTCGCTATTTTGCTAAAATGAAATGAAAACTGCAGGATGGAGCAATCAATTATTCTTTCTTTCTGTTTACCAGATTTTTATTAACATTTGTTGTAGACACATTGCCTTTTTCTTCTTCTACTGTTTGTTTACTATCATCTTTTGTAGATATCAACGTCGAGTTGTCAGCCGTTTTACTGAACTTCACTACAATACAGAATAGAAAAAATAATAATTTGCATGTGATGTTGAGATTTATTGCAAACCAGTTGAAGGAACAGTACGTTGATATAGAGTTTCGTAAGATGGTTTATTTAATTCATCTTTTCCAGAAGTTACTGTAGTATTCTAAAATCAAAATAGATCAAGGAATTAGAATATTTATTTATGTTGATTCAATAAAATTCTACCAGAATTTTGGATTCATCAACGATTGAATTATCTGTAGGAGTTGTCGGAGGCATCATCAAACGTGTGATGTTCAATCGTGGTATAGCGATTAATAGTTTAATTTTATTGTCACTGTTCTCATTTGTTGTTATTTTTTGTGAATCAACTGGTAGACTCGGTTTATTTTTCAATAAACGATACGCTTGCTTAAGAGTTTTGAATTCCACTCCTTGTATTTTCATTAAAACAGCATTTTGCTGCTCGATAGCTAAGATTAAATCATCATCATCTTTCATTTCATCTGGTTTCGGTTCAATTTCATCCAATATAATCTCTGCATTATTCATATATTGAACTTCTTTTAAAATTATTTTACGTCCACTTTGACGAGCAAATTCAATTTCTTTTGTCGGCCAAAGTTCACGTTTTTCAAATAAAATGTCTTGCCAAGGTTTTTCATTTAAAATTAATGTAACATATGATGGTCGATTCTCTAACATACTTGGGATTGTTAGACGATTACAGTTTTTGATCGTTATTTCATACGTGCCTATAAAAACCGAGAAATAAAGAACAAATAATGAACCTCAGACGATTGACATTTAACTCATTAACCTGATATGGGATATTTTTCATCTGATGTGTGTTCATCAGAATATGCTGATTGTTTTGATAATGGAAAAAACGGTTTATAACGTATTTTGTAATTTGGCCATGTTTGTTTTCGACGAATAGCACGTCGTAACTAAAAATCAAGATTTAATTAATTAACTTATTGACGAGATTGAATAGTATTCACCTGTGCAATTATGATCTGAGCCAATTGGGGACTTTCTCGTGTTTCAAAATATGATTTTACTTCAAAGTCAATTTGAGGTTCCTTCAAAACAGGAGAAAATCTCTTTTCTTTTGACTAATAATCAAAAAAGAAGTAATGTACCTGTTTAAAAACTAAAGTCCAATGTGTATATCTGAAAATACACGGATAAATGATGCTTGTGAATTATATAGCTTATGTTTGATCTTACGGTTCACGTTTGAAATTTAATCGTAATTGACCTTCAATACGTTTGATTTTAATGTAGAGTGAACATTTTTTTCCAAACATAAGTGTAATATTGACTGTAACACAAAAGCCTTCTTTATAAACAGCGTCAAATATTGCGACAAATTCCTGAAATATACCATTGAAATAGAAATAGGATGCTATTCATATTTAATGACTATTATATGTTATGTACATCATCTATTATATGTACATCATGAATACATGTAATAAAACAATTATTGTCCTTACTGATATCATGTACAAACCTTGATTAAACCGCGTTCATCACGCTCAGAATGTTCTAATTTTATATCGCTAAAAAATGGACAACTAGCACCAAGACCTTAATAGAAAAAGAAAAAATTGAGCATGAAGAAATTAGACATACACACATGTTTGTTCCTCACTAAAATTTTGAATCTGAATATCTTGAAGAAATAATTTTCCAATACGACTACTTTTCAATTCATCGAATTCTATGTTAAGTTTACGTAAGATGTACCTACAAAATTCGAGTGATTCGAGTGTACAATAGCAGATATAAATGTAGAAAAAAAAATTAACCTCCTTAGACGTGAAGTATCTTTAAGTTCTTGAAATAAAAATTGGGCAAAATAATTTATACTATCAACAGCAGAATTTTTTGCATGTACATCCTGAAATGAAATAAATATTCTTAAAAGAGTTTTCTACGTTATCAATCAGTCCCATTAATCAACCTCAACTATTGGAATATAGGATGGATACTGTTCATGAAAAGTAATTGTTTCTACATTTGCATGAGGTAGATAACGTGAATACAGGTATAGTACAATAGATATTGTGGAAATTACACCGAATAAATAACTGAACACAATAACAAATAAAAACATTATAGATAAGTAAAATATTAAAAATTAAAAGTTAAAATATTTTGCACTGGCAGCAAATGTAATGTCTTTTGTACCATTTTGATGATCTTGAAAAGAAAAAAAGAAAAATTATAAACTCAAAAGTAGCAATATCGAAGTGAAACTAGATTTCAATCATGTAGCGTCTAACTTGTAGAACTACAAATAATACTATGGTGTTCAACCTGCTTTATTTCTATTACTGATGACTAAACATTTCAAATTTTACTAGTTTATCAATAAATAGATCGCTACTAATCTAATTAATATGAAACATGGTGATTCTCACTTTTTTCAATGAGCATGTTGCGTAGAAAATACTTATTGTATAAAGAGAATTCAGTTGTTCTAACCTATAGTCATTTTGTTTCACATCTTTATCATTACAACGTTCCTGTTATGTTTCCCGACAACTAGTACCTTAAAAATTCATACTTTTACCGTTGATTACTGCATTTTTTCTGTGACTCTTTGCAGAAAAGGCATAAACATTCTGAGGTGTTATCAAAGAAGCTTTGCTTTCTGTCGGAATAAAGTCCTTGAGAAGTAAGCTCAAATCAGGAAGGGAAAGTTTCGTGAAGTGATCTACTATCTTTTTGGTTCTGAAGCACAATCAGAAAACGCAAAGGAAATCAATATGGAGAAGAGGCAAGAAAAAAAATGTTAATAAGAGCAGCAAACAATTTTTCTTTAACTTTTTCAGTTCAATTTAATTAAAATAAAGAAGCTAATAGAGAAACCAAAATGGGGAAATAAAAAGCTCATTGTAAAAAAGCTAATAATTACCACTTCAATCGTTATTAAAAATCATTTTGATTTTTTGAAAGCAGCATTTCTAATGATTAGTGGATTACGTAAACGCAGAACAGTATCCATTTTATTTTCCACACAAAGGATAGAAATCTACTTTATCATTCACCTTGTTTTTTTTTCTCATGATCATAGAATACGATAAAAACGCAAATGAGCTAGTCATCATCACTCATAAATTTGTGTAGAGCATATGCATACGCGAGGACGAGAACTACTGAAAATTGTGTTCACACACGACGATTTCTTTATCGTCAATATTCAAATTTGCCATAAAGTAAGGCGAATTGTGAGACATACAGATATTTATTTTCTTTCCCAAAAAACGAAATCAAACTCTCGTTTTTTTTCTGCTCTATATCCATTAAAAGATCTTTAATCCCAGAAGTACACTAAAACCACAGCTGAGAGACAACTGATTTCGGGAAAAGAGTTTACTGAATGGTAAAGTCATTTAATATACTTTGACTATCTGACACGCACATCCGTTAGGGGGACTCCCCCTCAGGAAAAAACTTTTTTATCTTACATCCGATTTCGATGGCGCTTTCAGTGACTAATGCTTACTGTCCTACGAGCTTATGCTAAGAATTTGAAATCGAAACGTTGAAGCGCTGCCGAGTTATTGCGTGACAAGGGGCAAAATGGGGCTCTGAGCAAAAGCGTTATAACTTTTTGCTGAAAAGTGCAGAAAGCTGCGAGAGGCCTCAAATGAAAACAGACACCTAAATCTAAAATTTAATCCGCAGTGATTTTTGAATTTCGCTTCTGTTTAATCCCTACACGTATTACTGAAAATAACCCTAATTCGGCGGAGTATTTGCCACTTATCTCTGCACAGAAAACAAAAATCAAAAATCGCCGCGGATTAAAGTTTAGATAAATGTCTTAGCTTCAAAATAAAAAAAGAATGAAGATTTTACGATGAATCGTCCAGGAGCTATTACAACTTTACTGCGCCAAAACCGTATTCTAAGCAATGACGTCATTACTTCATTAATTATAGTTCAGTGCCTTCAGCAAAACTAGTATAACTCTGCGAGACAAAACCATATAAAGCTGTTGAATATCTCATTCTGATCAGAACACTCTGCTCAACATAGCTCTATGTCTGTTAAAACGAGCAACCTTAAAAATTTTAATTAAAACGTGAAATTTAGAGAAAGGTGATTTATAGGGCTCTCAGAAATCTCTTTCAAAATCCTTCTAAAACATTGAATTTTTGCAAACTAAGATGGTTTCTGAAAGATGACACTTTGGGATACTGAACCGTATGGTTGCTTCAGTTTCGAAAACATCGAATTCCTGGGGGAGGGGGCCCTTCAAGTAAATAAACAAAGAATACCTATTCTATTTCTTTGCTTTCATAAAAATTTGGTCGCGCTTAAAGAACATTCAACGGAAATAACGCGACCCAAACATGAAAGAAAACCTAACTGTGATAACATTTGAAGTCTGTCGTTTGAGAGGGCAATAACTTGACATCATAAAGCGAGAAGAAAACCCTGAGAGGAAAATTGAGCGTTAAAACATTCACAGTAAAAGCTTCCTCAGCTTTCAGTTCGGTAACATTTTATTTGACGTTACAGACGTTGAACTGTGATATTGCATAAATCAACCAGCATTTTTACCGTGACTTTCCATTGTTGACTTCATCATTTTTATAGCGGTCTATATAAGTTAGACGCAATAGGTAATGATAAACTCTATAATTAACACCTTCTTTCATATTTTACGTTGATTATAAAGTTTTGCACTTTACTTTTGCCATTTAACTTATCCTGAGAATACTTTCAGCCGGAAATAACGATCTGTGAAGTCGCACATCAGACCAGTTAGGTGTGCGCTTCTTTATTGGTAGATACTAAGCGAATGAAAAGGCATCTGGGAGATGTCGGCCATTAACGTCCCACTTCCTCTCACATTTTTCTATTATTTTACGCTCTGCCAGGTGTTGAAAACGATCGAATAACTGCAAGGGTTCTCTACAGTGTCTCCAGGAAACTCTGATGGTACTCTATCACTTACAATCAAAGAATTCAGCGACTTCGAGCAGGGTGCTTCCACACAGGTCCGCTCACTTTATACACAGCATCTTGCCGTGAAAATTTCACTTTGCTCACCGTGTAGAGCATCAGAAATAATCTAAAGATCTCGCTTACGCTTTTTTGAAAAAACGTGTGGAAAGTGGTTTTCTAGACACCTCAAATTTTTGGTGAGGGTGAAACCGAAGTCGGTGAAAAATGGAAAGTGCCGAGGATAGTTGTATGGGCAAAGTTATAGATCCTACTAAGTAGTTTCTATCCTGAAAAAATCTCGAAAAATTTTCGGAGCGCTTAAGAGAAAATCAAGGTCAAGCTTCAGGAATTTTTCAAGTAAATTGAGTACCACTCGAACGTAAAGTTGGATGATGTATAATTATGCAATGCTTCATTCATTTTCACCGACTTCGGTTTCATCCTCACCAAAAACTTGAGGTGTCTAGAAAACCACTTTCCACACGTTTTTTCAAAAAAGCGTAAGCGAGATCTTTAGATTATTTTTGATGCTCTACGCGGTGAGCAAAGTGAAATTTTCACGGCAAGATGCTGTGTATAAAGTGGGCGGACCTGTGTGACAGCTGTCATACCCCTGTGAAAGTAGTAGGAGAAGTTTTTACATATCACCCGAACAAAAAAAATAAAGTTAGAAAAAAGCTTTTTGTATTCCCCACACTCGATAATCCAGAAGATTTTCTGTTTTTGACCAGGGGTACTTCCGAAAGTTTAAGAAAGATTTTGAAACAAAATGGCGCAAAAAAATTTCCATGGGTAAATAAGATTAGTTTGAAAATTTTTCCTAAACTTTCGGAAGTACCTCGGACCAAAAATAGAAAATATTCTGGGTTATCGAGTGTGCTGAATACAAAAAACCACTTTTCAGCAACTCAAAACCCACTTTATTTTTTTTCCGGTGATATGCAATACCGGTACTTGCGCTACTCGAGCTGCTGTTTTATGTGGTAGACCACGTCCAGACTAAATTTTTTTCCAATAAAGTTAACTTTACAATCAGTCAGGATCCTTAATTCCGACTTAAGTCATGTTTGTGTGATGACTTAAGTTTTTATCGATCAGTCAGATCCGTTAATGCTCACTAATTTTTGTATTCTGAACATGGCCATATGGTAGACAGAAATCTATGTCTGCTTGTAGAGTAAACGGGTTAAAATTGAGAGCAGACATTAATACACTACGTTGTGTCCATTTTGGATTAAATATAATCTATACTAATTCGATAATTATTTGCAGCGAGATTTTAATCGATTTTATTAACATTAGATTAAGAGTCTGTTATACCGAATGACGTATTCATTTCAAAACTAAAATTCAGCTACAAACATATAAGTATAAAGTTACTGTATATTTGTCTTACAAAAAATTTGGACATAGTAATAGTATTGATAAATACAGTTTCTCATAGAATTTTGAATAAATAGAAAGTAAATCGTGTTCATATACTATTATTCACCTTTTTTATCTTTGACGATATGAGCAATAACTTCTGGTGGTCCCACACTTGAAAAAGATGAATTTGTTGCTGGGCAATGATAAATGTTTTTCATTAATATATTTGACAAACAATGTGGCGTTGTTCGTGGTGGCATAAATTGCATAAGACATTTTCGAATAACAGCCAGTGAATAAACGGTGTAAAGAGGCACTACTGATGGCTTTTTTAAACCAAGTTTCTGATGAAATGTTTCACCACCAACGATATACAAAATCGCATTGACTAATGACCTTGTGATCAGAGGCGGTATTAATCGTGAATACCATTTTTCTACAAGCTTTGTTATGGCATCTGTAAACACATCTCTAGATACGGTTAGTTTTGAATCAAGTTCACTTTCTGTATATTTGTGAACAATACTGTAGACTTCTTCTATCGAGTTTGGACAATTTACAAGTCTCATTCTTTCACCAACATTTTTATAAAATAAAAAAATTGCTTGTTTTTCTTTATCATTCAAATTTCTCCATTCAAATATTTCTATTATTTGAATTGTGTCGACAATAAAACAGCATAAAACAAAAATGAAATCATAATTTCTTGTACGTGATGCAAATGTATCATGAATACTATTGAGATGTTTGAAACTCGCTTTTCCTTTTTTACTATCCAAACCATAATCGACCCATGCATGTATGAGAATATCAGCTTATGCTTTAATAGGCGTTAAAAGTCAATCTTTTGACAGCATAGTGGAATAACCGTGACTGTTAAAACGTACAGTCGTGAATGGATCGAAACGTGTTTCAGATAGTTACTAAGATGCAGGTCACTTTGTCTAGGATATTTTTAAGGTCGGATCAAATCTGTTGAATTTTATTAAGGGTACACTCCCGTCATTTTCGGCCGAGAAATCGAAATTTTTTTATAGAACCCCTTCGAATAGTTGCCGAAGGAAGGAAGAGTGTAAGTTAGATATTCAGAAGCCTAGCGTTATTTCTGTTTCTCTGCTCCTCTGTAGATATGATCTTAATTAAATTAATAATGGCAGTGGCTATGATCGTAAGTTTGCTTAGTGGAGCCCAGTTATAACCTTAGAGCCCCTATGTATAATCTTAAAATTGCTCTCAGTATGTATTAATGATCTTTGAATGATTTAGGGCCTTATTTACGATTTTATAGTCTCCGGTTATGATCTTAAAGATACCTGGTATTCTTTGTTATGGCCCTGACAATGTACAAGATTTACAGTTATGATCTTAAAACTGCTGCGAGACTCATAGTTATTATCTTTTAGATCTGACCCTTCTCTACCCGGTGGACGTCAAGATTTTTCATGGAGGACTTTCTAACCCTTTATTTTCTTCATTTTTCAAACTCTAAGGGAGAGCTCATAACGTCGCCTAGGCATGCACCCGTATTTACTGGCACATTTTTCTATTTTTTTGAATCAGCTTGACTGAACATTACAAACTATCAAAATTTTTTGAGGACTCAGTTTTGTAGAGCAAATCTTTTTACAAGCAACATTTTTCTACAAAACGAGGTACGGCACAACTCTTTACTTCTTTTCTTTCTGCCATAACAGCTTCTCGACGAAGCTTCAACTGGTATTAACCGGTATCGGTACCAGTACCGATCGTGAGATGTTAAGCACAGATTTTTTATTAGAGCACTGGTTCCACTGATGGGTTTAAAGCGGCCTAAGTTATAACTTGTTGGAGTTAGAACTAGTTATAACTAATTTAAATTTTGGTCAAAAATTTCAAATAGTTATAACTATCTACCGGCGTTATAACGATCAACCCAAGTTGATAGTTATAACTCCAGTTGATCGTATTTCTCCTAATTTTTTTCCGTTCTTATTTTATGAAATTTTTATTTTCTTTGCGTCACATAATAGGATTGTAAAATGGAAGAAAACAAAAATTGTTCGTCTGTTGAAGCAAATTTGTTTTAAGTGCCAAAACTTCTGCGCATGCAAAGCACCTACTGTATATATCTCGCAGCTATATAGCTTAATATTTGTATATAATTCTTAATACTTAAGTAATCAGTTGTTTCTAAAACATGGTTCAAGAGCAAACAGGTAGATTGATTCGTTCATCATCTAATAGTTTAACACTTACCAAATAAGAACTTTATTTGTATCGATGATGAAAAATTATTAAGTGGTGCCAGCTAATATTCTCAAGGTTTTCAGTTAGTGATCAAGTGCCTAATGCGAACAAAATTTGCGATATCGTGTATGACAAACTAGCTATTCATCTTCAACGACTGGAAGTCATTTAAAATAAACTAGATCCATTATCAGTATGCATTGAGAAGTTATGAGTTAGGATAGAAGATCAAGAATAGTCGCAAATTTTATTTAAGATTTATTGAGTTTGATAAAGAAAAAAATGAGAATATAACAATAAATTTGGTCAATTTTGTTTTTAATTCATTAAATACTGATTTAGATGAATACGATATTGACAACTCACTTCGAGTTTAGAGAAGAAAACTAATAGAACAAGATCGATTATTGCTCATTTTATCCTTGACTAGACAGCATGAACGTTCACACGATGCTGCGGCTTATAATATCATTCTACGCTTAAACTGAGATTGAAATAGTTATAATTATCAACTCGAGTTATAACCTCCAACCCGAGTTATAATCGGATCAACTTCTTTAGAAATTTTCTTATGTTTCAACTTTTGCAAAATAGTTTTAAACTCATCAGGGACTGGTCCACAATGGAAAGTGCAGTTATACTCTCTCATTTTCTAAAGAAATGTTTGCTGTACAAGACACAGTCATCAAAAAAATTTTAGAAGATTATTTTGCGGTATGAAAATTGTTTTATGAATAAACGCAGAATTGTAACCGATAAATAACGGTGCATAGCTAACGTGGTCAGATTGAAAACGACAGGTCAGCAACGACACAACTTTTTGATTTGCGCCTTTTACCAAAATTTATTAAAATGTTTTATCTACAAGAGCCCCCTACTTTGGAAAAGTTTTGAAAACATCGATTGAAGAACGTCGGTCGTGACTTACGTGCAATGGCTCTTATGTTATTTAATAACATACTGATATGCATATGTTGTAGGAAAAACTGAAATTCAGTGAATTTCTAGATTTCTCTAGCGAACACTGCAATCGGGTAAGATAAAAGTGAAAAACAATATCTCCCATGTGCATTTTTCACGTCATTGTAACTTGTTTTATACATTGTCCGTTCTTCAGCACAAATTTCTATGTGGCGAAGGGTACAACATTAGAGGAGAGGGAAGAAAAAGAGGTATAAAAAAACCTTTAGACAATGTGACTTTTTATTGATCTTTGTAAAAAAATTTATTTTATTTCTATAACTGGAAATCTATTCCAGTTACATTAACTCTACTCTTACCTGGTCAAATTCCCGACGTCACCAGGGAAAAGTGGAATCGACATATGTATGTATCTCAGTTTTTTCTAGGAAAAACTTGGATTCTACTTTTATCTAGCGAAATCTAGAATTTCACTGGAGAAAAGTGAAATCGAGCATGTGCATGCACATCCATCTCAGTTTTCGCTGGGGAGAATTCCGATTCCAGTTTTCGCTACAATATATATATATATATATATATGCATATATATATGCATATATTCTATAGCTGCTAATATACATTATTTCAGAAAAATGAACTTTTTTGTCAAATTTTGTTTTGCTATATTTTCTTGACTTACTTGATTTGTGTATTCTACTCGCATCGTTTGATCTTAACAAATCGTTTAGTTATTTCTTACTCAACTTTTAATTTTGCACCAAATATCTATATATATATGTACACAATCATTAACAGATCATTGCTTATTGGACCCATTTACGTTGGAACTTTTACGTTAATACTTGGGCTTTAGTTGGATGTACATATCTATTAGAAGAATTCGAACAATATCGGAAATCTTTTTCTTTCTTAATCTAATAGTAAAAAGCTGAGATGAGCTCGCCAGGCATGAGGATGGGTTCATACAATAAGCAATAATCTGTTAACGTTTCTTGATTTCTTTTTTCAAGATTTCTTGTTAGTATGAATAACTCTTTTCGTTCAATCTCATTTTATTCTATATATAAAGGGTGTTCTAGAAGTTCTGAAGTAATTTTAAAATGCATCATTCTAAAATTACTTCAGAACTTCTAGAACACCCTTTATATGTTACAGGGGAAATTAAAATTCTACTAGTGGAAATTAAAATTTCAATCTTCACTAGTGGAGTTTAAAATTTCAATTTCCGCTGAGAAGAATCCAGTGGAAATTGAAATTTTAAGTTCAACTAGTGGAAAATAAAATTTTAATCTCCACTATAGTGGGATTTTAAATTCCACTAGGCGAAAATGACTAACACTCATATTTCAATCTCCACTATAGCGGAAATCAAAATAGTAAAAGAAAGGAAAGGAAAGAAATACTTATAGATTTAGGTAGTATAGAAGTTCACACAGTTAGTTATAAG